TTTAAATTATTTAGCACCTGCTGCTCCTTTGTGCAGCCCTTACTGCAGGATAAACTTCCTCCTGCAGATGATCAGATGATCTGCGTTCAGAGGGGAAGTGGGCGTGGCCAAGAGCGCTTGCAGTTGACTGAGAGCAGCAGAGGCACAGGGAGGGAAATCATGACATGCTGTGCTCTTTTACAACTTTTAGAGTTTAGAAACATTGTTTAGAAATTTGCAAGAGTGTGGGAAAGGTTGAAAACGTCAATATCTATATACATAAATACTAAAATAAACCACTACTTACTACTTGTACTACTATTCCTACTTCGTAATTTTTCACTTACCGCAGAGCTACAGGGTACGGATACCCACGATAAACGAGGGACTACTGTACTGTTTATACATAGATATCTATTTCTTACAGGCAGGGTTTTAAGCACCTTATAACACTGAATGTTCTGCTGAAATGAAGCACATTTAGATGCATTTATGTTGAGTGACATTACTACTACCCATGACATTTTGGATATTTTCCTACTAATGTGTTAAAATTAAATGTATCTGTCATAAAATAAAAAATGTTACAAGAAATGTGGTTACATCATACACATGCCACATTGTATGATTCAGAATTCAGAAAAATAAAAACGGGGGGAAAAAAGGACTTTGGGAAAGAAAAAAAAAGAGTCATCTTGGCTAACCGATGGGGGAAACACAAACATCAAGATTGCTGTTCTTGACCTTACAAATAGCAGTTCAGTGGTGACACTGTACATCTTTTGGTCATGCACCTCCTGAATTATGTGCTCTGTGAGAAGCACAATGTAAGTAAAGTAAAGCAACAGAAAAGAGTCTACTAGCAAGTTTGTTCTCGGGGGGAAAACAATAAAACACAACAAAATCACCAACGTGTAAATATTGCATAAATTAAAAAAAAGTCATATTTAATATTGCAGTTCAATTTATATATGAAGATGTACTTCAGGCACGACTTCTTCTAGGGTCATTCCTGCTGTGAAGTGGTATTTTCTCTTTAGTGGCATCTACTATGTTGGAGGACTTAGTAAGTATACCGTAATATGTTTAAGAATAAGTGTCAGTGCGTAAAGCAAAAGTCACCAACTGTTCACATCATCACCCACCACTAAATAAGTATGAACTACCGTAGTCTTCAGATTCACAGGCAAATCTGACTGAAGACAAAATGACCACAATGAATTAATTTGAAAAAGTATTTGTTAGCCCAGTTTCTTTGACTTTTATACTAAAACACGCTAGTGTGAAGCATTTCATCCCATGCAAAGAATGCAGAAAATGCATGACTCTTACAGCTTTTGTTGATAAAAGATACCAAAAGTCAGGTAAACGTAGACATGTGAAGTGTCTGACCAACAAACTATGCTCCTTCCCTGCAATACTTTAAGAAAGGCCGAGGCAAACTGAACATAATATTGCATTTAAAATAGCCAAAACATCTATTTTACTGTTTTAGTTGTGTAAAAACAATAAAGCAGTCCAGGATAATGTGTTTTATGCGGTAATAAATCAGTTATGATTGATCTGAAAGCTTGAATCTAACAAAGTCTAAATATAAGGAAATGGGATTTTTTTATTTTTGCATTCTCAGTTTCTCAATATCTTCCTCTTGTGTCGTTTGGGCTTTTCACATTTTTTTTCATTCAACCTTTATTTATACAGGTTAGTCTCATTGAATCACAAGGCCTTATTTTCAAGAGAGACCTGTTTTAGACAAAACCACAGATAAGGGACACACAACAACAGTTGTTTAAAACCACTTAGAGAGGAGAGGTCAAAGTCGACAGCGTAAGGTGTTCCAGGTATATTATTATACTAACGTTAATAGTATATTATAGTTATACTAGCACCCAGTTCAACAAATACCTTTATGCAATTCCTGTTAAGAGTATTCTGATTTATTGTTCATCTCTGTATGTAAACAATGCTCTACAGATCTTAAAAATGACTTAATCCTGGTCCTTCTCAATGAAATATCCCAATGATTTCCTGATTTTACACTTGATGAACTGCAAGATACATTAACATCGTCTGTAGTTATGCTTTATCAAAAGTTGACAATGGTTTTTGAGGTTTTATCTGTAGAATCTGGGGAATAAGTATCTTTGTTGAAGAGAAGGTGCAACTAATTTCAATAGTTAGTTTAGGCTAAAAAGGGTTGTGTTTCCCTACAACTTTTCATTTAAAATTTTAACATGCAAAAAGCATACAGTATGGTAAGTACATAAATTTTGTTTTGATCTATTGTACCCTGAGCTGCACCGTTTGCCTCTCTGTTCAGCGCTTTTAAATTACTTCTGGATTTTCGTTTTACGGATAGTTGGAAGCAGCTGACACAGCTCCTTTAGTATCAGCACAGACTTGATGAAATGGAAGGATGCTGCATTATCAGGGAGGTTTGCCAAATACAGGAGACACATACAAGCAGGCCAAGTTGTCAGAAGCTCTCACTGAAACACTTATCTTGAGGAAGCAAATGACACTGCAGTAAGGCAAACATCAACTCCAGTTCCATATTATGGTCATTCAGCACAGATGTAACTACTTAACTGGTTGATCATCATATATTATTAGTAGTATTCTCTCCATTTATGTTTTGTGTATGTTTAATGCGCAAAGATTGTCCACTAAATTTCCTTAATTTTGGGAGAACGGCCGATACATGAGACGATTTTACAGATTTTTTTTTTGTTGTAGTTTTAACAACAACTGTCTGAACTTCATTTATATTTCAGAGCACTACCTCATGGTCAGTTAAAACAAGTTTGTATTGTTTCTAGGATATTGTTTCAGCACAAAAAAAAAAAAACTGTCCAGATGACCTGACTGAAAAATGTTGGGATTGTATACCTGGATTATTGAGCATGGGCTTTTTTGTTCAAGGATATGTTTTTCAATTAAATAAGACTAGAAAATTGAAGGTGCATTGTGACCTTATGACACCTGACAGTGTCGCTTACAAAACAAAATTGGAATCCGCAGGTCAGACTTTTTAGAGATCGGACAGAAAACTGCAATCGGTGCGCCCCTATTTTCCACTAAATACCCAGTTTTATTGGAAGCGTTTGCTATTAAGTTTGAATCAAAAGTTAATGTAAAACCACTAAACTATGAAAAAAATCAAAAGCAACAACAAATAATGTTTGACAAGTGTGTTCAGCATAAACCCATTCAATACAATAGCTGATAATTATAGCAATGAACTCCAATCAGTCTCCCTGAACAGACTTGGCCTGTAAGTAGAATCCCGTGAAGGAATCCACAGCAGACAGCTAGTTTGCCAGCACTGAATGCTATTGTTTACTACTAGTGATGTCACCAGCACTACTTCCCAGGAGAGCCTCTGGGTGGGAGGGGGTGGGAAAGCATGGAGATCAGCAGAACTCCATGACTAAGAGCTAACAGCCCACTAAACTGACCCACCAGCTCACGGCCCAGCCCCAACAGAGTTGAGATGCGTATGTCAAAACCACAATGTAAAAATACTTCGACTTAGACAATGTCACACATGGGCAGGAAAAAGCACTTGAACTTAAGGAGGTCCGGTTATTAAGTTCAACTATTTTTCAAAAGACACCCTCAAAGACGGAGGCACTCTTAAAATGAACACATTGTTAAGTTTACAATCTTCCCTTAAACTGTATGTTTTGTTGTTCTTGGTCTAACTAATAACTTATCTTATGTTGTCTACTTGTAGAGCAAAAAAATACTGACTATTTGAGCATTAAGCCTGGGAAACCCCAACACATGAACAAGCTTAAGGGAATTTGAACAGACAAGAAATCTACGTAGCAGTCTCAAGCCTTCGCAGGTTAGAGCAAGTCTGAGATGTCCAAACGTACCAGAATATATTCTAAAGCAGGGTTTAAAAGCAACTTATATTTAAGAATAAATGCGGCTTATACTATCTGAAATACTGGTCATTTTATTTGCATATCTAATGCTCTTCATTTGTTCTAGTTTTTTTGTTGTTGTCTTTGTGTACGTTTACAATCCAATTTATCAAATGATCCATGTCAGTTTAATCCATAATCTACAAGCAGTGTCGTGTTACTAATATTTGACCAACCAGACACGCATACACAAAAAAAAAAAACCTACAATAGCAGTTGGTGCCAGTCACTGTTGCCACCCTGGCAGTGGGGGAAGGGGGTCATGTTAAATGGGTTGGGCTTTAGCCTCCAGCTCAAGCCATGAGGATATTTCACATCCCAACCTGTGCAATAAGCTCCCCTCTTTTCCAAGTCCACCAACACATTCCAGTGAGCTGGCCAGCTCCACTTGCAGGTATGTGAGATTCAGGGAGGAGTGGGGTGGGGGGTTGATGTCATGCCCCAGCTTCACTTCTGTTTCAATGTCAAGGTACATCAGATTGGGAATAGAAACAATCTTATTCCAGAGGTATTCCCTGTAATAATGCCAGGCAGAGTGGTGATTTGTGGAGTATTATTTATGAAACTGGCACAGGGAAAAGAAATGATCCTTTTCAGTTATTCAGTCCAAAAAAACATGTTATTTAGCCTTCTGGTTTAACCTTTGATTTTCGACTGACAGCTGCCAAGATGGGAGAGATTACTTCATTGAGCTAAGGTTTTATTCAAATCCAGAGATTGCTTTAATAAGTGCAGGACAGCGTTAGCTTTAAAGGCTTAGTGGTAATGCTGATGTTGAAAGGTGTACAGGGATCAAGGATGAGTGTTTCAAAGCACACAGGCCTTCTCACCCAGGACAAGCAGTACTTTACAGCAAAATAACTCCATGCTGAGCTAGGAAGAGTTTACATCCAAATGTTATGCCCTTCTTTAGTAACTGAATAGCACAGTTACTGCAGAGCACAACACAAAGTGACCACTGCTAAGTGGTAAAACGACATACAGCAGGCATACAATTTCACACGTGTATTGAGTTTCAAGTGAAAATGTTGCGTTCCCTTCCCCTGATGACTCAATCTGTGCATGCAGACAGTGGATTAGTGCACATACCTGTCAGTGAAGCTGGTCTGTGTGTCACTCATTGGGCTTCTCGGTGTAGATTTGCAGCAAACGATATCCTTTTAGCATGTTCCACAGCGTGCTGAGGCGATTTCCTGGAGCATCCTTGTTGTCTAGCGTTCATCCGAAGCTGGCATGGATTTTTTTAGATAATCAATACACTTTAGAGCAGTGTCAAGTCGATGAAAGGCACGTCAGAGCAAACAATAAAAATTATGTTAAAAAAAAAAAAAAGCACTGGATGATTGAGCTGTCAATAAATAATCCAAGCAGCTGTAAGGAATCGAACAGTGCAGATCTTTATAATTAATCGGGGCCTCGGTTGATGATATCCCAACCCCAGCACGGAACTGTATTTTGCCAGGAAAAGAAGGGAAATAAATAAATATACAACTCCGTCTGGCACAACTTGCTGTGCAGATACGAACTCCTCTCGTGCGGCTCCTTCTGCCTTCACATCCCAGTTTACCCGCCGGTGGGAAGCGCGTAAACAATCCGACGTACCAGACACCTCGGCCCCGCGATGAGGTTCCGTCTGCCACCACCCCAGCTCGGCCGGAGAACGGCCTAAACGAGCTTAAAAGATGCTGGGGATTCCTGCAGTCCCATTTGGTATTCCCTGATCCCAGGAAACGCCTGCCCGTGGCTGTGTACGGACGAGTCTCCCGTGACCATGAGAATCGCTCCGAGTTCGCACACGAACCGCGTTACAAGTTAGCAAAAACTGTAGCTAGTTGTTGTGTTTCGAGAAACACCGCCGGTTAACGCGTTAAAACAAGCATATTGTTTCAGGGAAGGAAAAAAAATCGTTCGTGGCGAGCTGGCAGACGTTAAATCTCGGCAGCTACCAGCTAACAAAACAGATGAGCTCTTCCAGAAAAAAAAAAAAAAAAAAAAAAAAACTTTGCTTCGTGTGAGCTCTTGTTTCGAGTGCAAACTAAGCAAACTGTCGTTCACAACAATGAGCGAGCCAGCGACACACGTACAAACCCCGCTTGATTCTTGCGATTACGTCTATCTTAAAACGTCTTCTTGAGCAAAGATATTAAAAAAGGAGGAACATCCAGTGGATTCGGGTTAGCACGGCGCTACGTTGCTTGACTCCATGTTTCAAAAATTCAGTCGCTTCTCGACAGAATTCTCGTGGATGGAAAGCGGCTAACGGGACATAAAGTTAGCAACCACTCCTCTGTAAACAACCGCCACCTCCCCCACCAAAAAATAAAAATACAGCAGAGGGGCTTTGAACTTTTGTCGCGAACGGTGCAAAGTGAAGTTTTTCGCCGTTTGGAGCAGAGCAGAACTTGTGGAAAGGTAGCCCCCAAATCCCACTTTCTGCCGCTAGCAACGCCCTAGCCCCGCTACCAGTCGGTGGGTCCAGTAGCACTTCCACTAACCACTTCCGGCCAGGACGGACAGAGAAATGTAGTTCCACCGTGACGTCACGGAGCCGTGCTGTAAAAATGGCTGAATCAACATGTATGGTCATTTGGAAGTCTTTTGTGCATTATTACAATAAGCGTTAGAATGTCAATAAGCAATACATTCTTATTACAGGTTAATTTGACCAAGGCGTTTTTAAAAAAATAAAAAAATAAAAGCATGTCTAATTCATTAGTATTTAATTAACGTTATTCATTTGTTATCATTGTGTTCAGTTTTTTTCTCCAGTTTGCAGTTCTGCAAACCTTTAGCCTTTTTAAGTCATTCATATAGCAAAGGCTCATCCAGGAGATGGGTGCTGTCACTTTGAGTTTCAGAAACTTTTCTACTTTTCTAACAAAGTTAAGTCAGGTCCTCTGGACGGATTAAAAAAAATAAAAATAAATTGTTGAAACGTTTTGTTTTTTATTCAAAATACTTTTTTTTTCATTAATTCCACCTTTATTTATACAGGTTAGTCTCAGTGAGCCACAAGGACTCATTTACAAGATAAATATTAAACAAAGAACATAGATGAGGTACAAACAATAGGCAAACACAAAAAATGAAAAGTAAATAGAAGAAATTGTATAAAAATGAGACAAAAACAGCTACATTATAAAGTGATGTAAATTACTAGCAACAGAAACATGTATGTCTGCGTTGGTTTTTGCCATGAACGTAGTGGTTGTTTAAAATCCATTAGAGGGGTCAAGGTCGAAAGCTTCAGATATATTTGCAGGGTGTTCCAGGATACAGGAGCGGAGTAGGAGAAGGCCATTTTGCCTAGTTCAGTACGCACTGAGGGGACACTGCAAGTAATTATGTCCTCAGTGCGACCCAAACTAGGCAAAAGGGCTTTCTCCTACTCAGCTCCTGTATCCTGGAACACCCTGCAAAAATATCTGAGGCTCTCGAACTTGACCTTTCTTGTTTCTTCATCAGTCTGAAGAGCTGCAATAAACTCAGTCTTATAGATAGCCCCTAAGACTGAGTTTATTGCAGCTCCTCAGAAAAAGACGAAACGCTCCAACAATTTTTTTTTCATCTGTCCAAAGGACCTGACTAAACTTTGTTAGATTTTTCCACCTGGATTTTTGAGCGTGCATCAGGATATTTTCTAATTTTCAAAAATATTAAAGTTTATTGGCAAATATATTTTTCCTACTTAAAAAAATAGGGGCTATTCAATTTTTTCAAAACCTTGTTTTCCCTAAAACGTCCACATCAGCATACTTTCTCTAATTTTGTCTTCGTATGATACCAATTTTCTACTTTAAACTTTTAGCTAGCCTTTTTGCTGCTTTTAGCTTTTAGCCAGACTTTTTATTGCTGTTCGCATATAATTAGCCTTTTGCTACTGGTAGCAGTTAACTAACCTTTTGCTATATGTGACTCTTGGCTAACTCTTGGCTAAATATTTTGCTTTTATTTCACATTTAGCTGCTTTTAGCTAGCATTTAGCTATTTTTGTCTTTTACCTAGCCCATTTCTTTTTTTTTTTAATACCAGCCAGTGTTTTGCTTGTTTTAGTTTTCAGTTAGTTTTCTGCTTTTAGACTTTTAGTTAGTATTCTGCTTCATATAGTTTTCAGCTATAGTTATCTGTATCTGTTAGTTATCTGTTTTAAGCTTTTATCTAGTGTTCTGCTACTTTTGGCCTTTAGTTACCGGGTATCTGTTTTTGTTTTTTTTGTTTTGTTTGTTTGTTTGGTTGGTTTTTTACCTTTTAGCTTATATTCTGCTTCTTTTAGTTTTTAGCCAGTTATTGTCAAAAACCTTAGTTTTAGTTTCTTCAGCAAATTTCAACATATCATTTAGCATGCAGCATTTTCACAGAAAATGCTATTTTTATAATTATGCATTATTATTGTTGTTGTTAAAGAGCTATCTTATATTGTGATATGATCAATCGGTGGAAAGTTAGATTTTTTTGTTAGAGGGGTTTTCAACATTTTCAGCTTTCAACACACAAAATAAAAGTTGCAGAGACCTCATCTAATGCTAGTTGAAGTGCACACATTTTGGTTAAACACAAAGCCTTGTCAACGTCATTATTTTATGCCCTTATGACCACTGATTAAATCACCATGTCTCAGTTAATGCCAAATATGGTGCATCTGTGTCAGTGATAGAAATAAATATTAAAAAAGCCATTTCTGTAAATTTATCACTTGATGTTTTGTGACCCATGTGGGGTTTTCACACCAATGTAAGGAATCACGTTTAAAATATACAAAACAATGTGTGACTGTAACTTCTGTTACTGTTTTCGTATGACTCAACCAGCACGTTATAATCAGGTGTTAGTTCCATCCCTAATAATTTGCATAACGATTGATTGGTTGTTTGCTTCTCCAACAATGTATACTTGCCTCATAGTTTTTCTACTTCAACAAACTTGCAAATATATATATATATATATATATATATATATATATATATATCAGCAGACATATGCTCAAACATTATGAATCAACATGTACAAAAAAAAAATACACGTCCTTTCAGATTAGTTCAAAAAGGAAAATTGATTTGATTGTTGTTGTTTTTTTGTTGGTTTGTTAAGGTTTTTTTTTTAATAAAAATGAACATGAACAAAACCTGCTTTGTCAGAAGAAGTTGATGATGCTATCTTTTTTCTAAAATCAGAAACATCTTGTCTAAAAATGATGCAGAAAAACTGGTTCATGCTTTTATCACGTCTAGACTGGACTATCGCAATGGTTTGTTATCTGGGTGTCCAAATAATTCTTTAAAAAGTCTTCAGTTAATCCAAAATGCTGCTGCCAGAGTTTTAATGACAGTTAGTGGGAGAGATCATACCTCTCCAGTTTTTCGCTTCTCTCCATTGGCTCCCTGTCAAATTCAGAACTGAATTCAAAATCTTACTTCTAACCTACAAAGCTCTCAACAACCTAGCTCCATCTTATATTAGTGATCTTATTGTTCCATATTTTCCTTGCAGAGCACTTTACACTCAGACTGGAGGCTTACTTGCGGCTCCTAGATTTTCCATTAGCAGAATGGGAGGAAGATATTTTAGGTATCAGACTCCTCTCTTATGGAACCATCTTCCATTTTCTGTCTGTAAAGCTGACACATTGTCCAGTTTTAAAACTGGGCTTAAGACTTTCCTTTTTGATATATATTTTTTCATTCAACCTTTATTTATACAGGCTAACCTCATTGAGCCATGAGTACTCATTTACAAGAGGGACCTGTTCCAGAAGGAATATTAAGTACAGACAACAATAACAATAAATAATAACAATAAACTACAGTAATAAATGCAGTTTAAATGAGTAGAACAAATAAAACAAAAAATCAGGGTGCCGTAAAACAATGTGAAATACTAAAAACAAGAACATATTTGCTTTGATTTTTCCATTTAAGTCATCAGATGTTTGAAACCTCTTAAAGAAATCAAGGAGGACAACTTCAATTCCTGTTGCAAGGTGTTCCATGTTGCAGGAGCTGAGTAAACAAAAGCCTTTTTGCCAAGTTCAGTCCTCACTGAGGGAACGCTGCAGGTAATGATGGCCTGAGAGCGCATGTTGTAACTGCACTGACGACGTGACATGTGGGAGGAGATTCAAGAAGGTAGCAGACCAAGGAGGGATTTATAGATGAAGATGTACCAGTGTGAGAGCCTACGTGTAGATAATGATGACCAACTGACCAAGGAGTACAGAGTGCAGTGATGGGTACGGTTACAACCAGTTATGAATCTTAGCACACCATGGTAGACAGCATCCAACATCTGCAAGCAGCTGGCAGGAGTATTCATGAAAATAATGTCACTATAGTCAATGGCCGGTAGGAAAGTAGCAGTTACAAGGTGTTTTCTGGCATTCAGGGTTAAGCTAGATCTATTTCTGAAAAAGAAACCCAGTTTTAATTTCAGTTTCTTTATCAAGTTTTCATTATGTGGTTTAAGAGAGATGTGCATCGACCAAAATTCCCAAGTATTTGTAAGGATCTAGAAATTTAATAGGAACACCATGCATGGATGAGATAGGAGGAAGAGTTGCTGGCACCAACTTTCTGTTGGAAAACAACATCCATTTGATTTTCGCAGCATTTAACACCAGCTTGAGATGGAATAAGTCAGGCTGAATGTCAAATGTAGACTAGAAGCTGGAAAACCTTGGCAATTGTGTTAGCTCTGTAATAAACAGCAGTGTCATCAGCATAGAGATGCAAGGATGCGTCAGGAATGTTTTGACCTACATTATTTATATAAAGTGTAAACAGAGTGGGACCTAAAACTGAGCCTTGTGGCACACCATTGGTGATAATTTGGTAGTTCGATGAAGTACTGTTATGTTGAACACATTGCCTTCGACCTGA